GAGGCTGCACCCCCGCAAAGCTCCTGGCCCGGACCACGTGTCTCCGGCCACTCTGAGACACTGCGCCAGTGAGCTTACTCCTGTGTTCACGGACATTTTCAACACCTCTCTGCAGTCCTGCCATGTCCCGGCCTGCTTCAAATCCTCCATCATTGTCCCGTCCCGAAGAAGCCCAGGATCACAGGACTCAATGACTACAGACCTGTAGCACTTACGTCTGTCGTCATGAAGTCATTTGAACGCCTGGTTCTCTCCCATCTCAAGTCCCTCACCTCCCCCCTCCTGGACCCCCTGCAGTTCGCCTACAGAGCCAACAGATCTGTAGACGACGCCATTAACCTGGCCCTCCACCACATCCTACAGCACCTGGACTCCCCGGGGACCTACGCCAGGGTCCTGTTCGTGGACTTCAGCTCTGCCTTCAACACAATCCTGCCATCCCTGCTCCAGGACAAGCTCTCCCAGCTCAACGTGCCCGATTCCACCTGCAGGTGGATCACTGACTTCCTGACGGACAGGAAGCAGCGAGTGCGTCTGGGGAAGAATGTCTCGGACTCTCGGATTATAAATACAGGAGCCCCACAGGGCTGTGTTCTTTCTCCCCTGCTCTTCTCCCTGTACACCAACCACTGCACCTCCAGCCACGACTCCGTGAAGCTGATCAAGTTCGCGGACGACACCACCCTCATTGGACTCATCTCCAACAACGATGAGTCCGCCTACAGGAGGGAGGTGGACCGGCTGGTGTCCTGGTGCAGTGGTAACAACCTGGAGCTGAACGCCCAGAAGACAGTGGAGATGATTGTGGACTTCAGGAAGAGCACTGTCCCCCCCGCCCCCACCCTCCGTGATGGACTCCCCCATCACCTCTGTGGAGTCCTTCCGTTTCCTGGGCACCACCATCACCCAGGACCTCAAGTGGGAGCCGACCATCAGCTCCCTCATCAAGAAGGCCCAGCAGAGGATGTACTTCCTGCGGCAGCTCAGGAAAGCCAAGCTGCCTGCACAGATGTTGGTGCAGTTCTACACGGCCATCATCGAGTCCATCCTCACCTCCTCCATCACCGTGTGGTTCGCTGGAGCCACAGTCAGGGACAAACAGAGACTACAGCGCATTGTGCGCTCTGCAGAGGAAGTGATCGGCCGCAGCCTTCCATCGCTGCTGGACCTGTACGTCGCCCGAGCTCGAGGCCGGGCTGGTCGTATCACAGCCGACCCCTCTCACCCTGCACATGGACTATTCCAACCACTCCCCTCTCACCTGCACATGGACTATTCCAACCACTCCCCTCTCACCTGCACATGGACTGTTCCAACCACTCCCCTCAGGCAGGAGGCTGCGGTCCATCAGGACTAGAACCTCCCGCCACAAGAACAGTTTCTTCCCCTCTGCTGTTGGACTCTTGAACACTTCTTAACCTGTCCCCCCGCCCTTTTAAAGTCACTTTACTGCCCATCATACGTCACTTTACTTCACTGTACTGCTGTCACCTTACATTGTGTGCACCATGTGCACTTGTATATTGTAAATAGTAACTGTAACTCTATTTTAAATTTTAAATTTATTCTTTAGAAGTGTTTTTTATTCTTATTTTTATTATCTCTTTTTGACTGTTGCACTGAGCCAAAGCAATTTCCAAGTCTGTGACCTCCTGTTACTTACGTTGGCAATAAAAATGATTCTGATTCTGATTCTGATATAACAGGTCCTGGATAAAACTGAAATAAATGATGTTAGTAATGTTAGATTGAGATACAATAAACACTGAACTCAACATTAAACTCACGGACATAAACTCCCATAAACGTTTGAGAAATCGTCCGACAGTGTCACCATGTTCTGTGATCGCTGCAGACTTTACAACGGACATAACTGCAACAGAACTCGTCAGATCGCTTCTCTTTCAGCACAAACTGGTTGTAAATGACGTAATATTTTGCCATTATTATTTTTTGTATGATCAACAGTTTATTTTGGTGTGCATGGCAACTATTTGGCCACAGGGCGTTGCCTAGCAACGTGGGAAGAAAGTGGCAGTTGGACCAAAAGGTTGTGTGCTACACTTGGTTGCTTGATAGTTTTCGGTCAAGGTTTTCCATGGTTTGTTTCAGCCCTTGGCACCTGGTTGATGAGGGAACAAGGTTTGTTTAATGTTGTTTGTAGTATTTTCTCTGTAATATTATGTAACGTTTTTGTTTGTTAGTTGTATGCTACCTTTGACCACTAGAGGGCGTTAAAACGGCCGTTAACGGCTCTGTTGTAACAAAGGGTAATTTATTTGCTTAATAATTATATATTATATGATAATTAAGCAAATAAGGGTGTAAATGTTAAGTTAATAAATAAGGGAATACGGGAATATGGTAATGAATTTAGGGTTTAAATAGAGTTTTTATGTGTCTCACTGTAAGTTTTCTAATTGTTAAATGTGTGAATTCTTTTAGCTCTTACGGTGTTGTTCACATGCCAAAGAAACAAAGTTGTGAACCATCAGTTTCGAGTAACCAGCCAAATCAACCGGGGACGCTACACTGGTTGTATGTCTGTTAGCAGCTTGTTCCACAGCGGGATGTTCTTCGTCTGCTCCTTTAATCACTGAGACCAGTCACAGGAGATAATACACGACAGCTCCGGCTCCATGCAAATAACACATGTGCAATACACTGGAACTCTGACAAAATATCAACTTTGTGATAGGGTTAGGATAGGTATGGACTGAGATCCATACAAACAGATACATATGGACTGTCACAAGCTGGCTCTGGGCCTGTGACAAATAGAGGGACAGACAGGTGTGGTCGTTTAATATGTTTATTTTAGATAAAGACAACAACAAAAAGATCAAGAATGAGTATGTGAGCAGTGGAATGTGTGCAGTGTGTGCAGGTCAGTGAATGACAACCAGTGTATGTGTGCATATGTCTGAGTGTGAAACTAAATCTAATCTGAACAAATGACAAAACAAAAAACGAATGTTCCAGTACCTGGAGGGAGCAGAGCAGAGACCGTGTTGGTAAGACACACACATTTAAGCACAAGTGCCCCAATCACCGGGTCCACCCTGCCTGAGAGGGAACCGCCCCTGTCAGGCAGGGAGGGGCCGTGACACCCCCCTCCTTAAGATGAGGGTCCACCCTCAACCCAGATTTTCGGCTCCAGCCATTGCCTCGCATCCTTCAGCCAACTGTCAGCCCTCCAACTCTGCAACCCTGGTACCTGGGAAGCAGTTTAAGAGTGGCGGAGCAGACAGAAAGCAAAGGAAACAGTTACTACACAGGAGCACGGGAAAGAGCATCAGTAATTCGAGCCCAACCTTTACCATCGACTCCTGCTGTCGTTGTGGCCTTGGGCAAGACACTTAACCTCTGGGAACACCAGCCACAGTGGGACGGGTGCGGCTGTAAAGTGCCAAACTGCCGTTGTGTCCGTAGGCAAGACACTTTATCCCCATTGCCTAGAATGAGTCTGGTGTGTGTGAATGGTTGGTGGTGGTGGGAGGGGCCGATGGCACAGACTGATTGCCTCGCTTCTGTCAGTGTTGCCCCAGGGCAGCTGTGGCTACAATAGTAGTTTATCACCACCGTGTTCGGAGTGAAAGAATAATAACATGTAAAGCGTCTTTGAGTGTCCAGAAACGCGCTATATAAAACTGATGCATTATTATTAATAACGTTGTCCTTACCCCGGATATGCCCAATCTCTAGATTATATGGCTGTAGGAACAGAGCCCAACGCATGAGTCTCTGATTTGGGTTTTGTAAGGACTTAAGGAACATAAGGGGATTATGGTCAGTGAAAACAGTCAAGGGGGTCAGACCGGAACCGATATAGACCTCAAAATGCTGTAAAGCCCAGAGACCCAGAGCCTCCTTTTCAATCACAGAGTAATTAAGTTGGTACTTACTAAACTTCCAGGAGAAGAAACTTACAGGACAGTCTATATTTCCATCATTTTCCTGCAAGAGAACAGCACCTGCACCAATGTGACTTACATCAACTTACTAAAGCCTCATGACACTGGGAGGACCAGGCAAACTGTGCCTTAGCCTTCAACAGATTGGCCAGGGGGGACACCACAGGAGAAGTTCTTGCAGAAAGCACGATAGCACGACCCTGCCATCCCCAAGAAGCGCATAAGCTCCTTCGTGGTGGGCTGCGGAAAATCCCTCACAGCCTGGACTTTTGCTTCCACAGGACGGACAAACCCCTGACCCACAACCTTGCTGAGGTAACAGACAGTGGCCTTGGCAAGTTCACATTTTGCCAGATATACTGTACGGTCAACCTGGCCCACTCCAGTCTGTCAAACAGGTGCCGAACTCTGCAGAGATGCTCATCCCAAGTGTGTGAGTAGACCACCACATCATCGAGATAAACGACACAACCTTCCAATCCCAAGACTACGGTTCATCAACCTGTGGAAGGTGGCAGGAGCATTCCGCAATCCCAAAGGCATTACTGTGTAAGAAAACAAGCCAGACGGTGTTATAAAAGCAGCAATCTCACGAGCTCTTTTAGTAAGTGGCACTTGCCAATAACCTTTTAAAATATCAAATTTGCTAACATACTTTGCAGAACCAACCTGATCAATGCAGTCCTCCATCCTAGGCAAAGGATAAAGGTCTTAGTCACATTGTTCACCTTTCGATAATCGGTGCAGGGCCGAAATGAGGAATCAGATTTCTTAAGACGACAGGGGGATGCCCAATTGGAATAACAAGGCTCAGCAAAACGATTTTTCAGCATATAATCCACCTGTGTCTCCAACTGCAGTCTCTTCTCCTCAGACACTCTGTAAAACTTTTGCTTTATGGGCTTAGCATCTCCGATGTCTATGTCATGTTCCATTAAATGAGTTTGACGGGGCACGTCCGAAAACAAAGACTTGTGTTTTTTAATCAGAGAGACCAATTGGTTACGTTTTGTCGAGTCCAAATGGTCCACCAAACTGCCTAGATTTTGCAGCGTTTTAGAGTTTTTAAGACGACCCTTTCAAATCTCATCCGGAGCCACAGTCATCTCCTCCCCCCCCCTCTGCAAAGTCCGAACCACCCTCAGTGACCGTCACAGCCAGCAATGCGGATCTCACAGAGCCGTCAGCGACCTGCCCAAGAGAAGGAGAATGATATGGTTTAAGCATGTTAAGATGATACAGTTTACAGGAACTTCGCTTCCCTGGAGTTTCCACAAGATAGTTTAAATCCGACACTTTACGCAAAACTGAGAAAGGACCTGAATACTTTGTTTGGAATGGAGAATTTACTAGGGGTAACAGCACAAGAACTTTGTCACCTGGAAAAAATTTAGGGTTAGGGTTAGGGGGTTAGGGTTAGGGTTAGAATAGGGGGGTAAAAACCACTTAATGTACCCCCCACCATAAAAGTTTGAGGGCTCATATCTCAGAAACGGAACTTCGTAGAGCATTGAAACCAAGATGTACCCCCCCGTACTATGAGGTTGGCTTTCAAATGGTGCCAGCCATTCTACTGTGGGACTTTCCATTCTCACGATATCTGCCAAAAAAACGTTGTTTTTTGTATATCTCCGGAACCGAAAGTCGTAGAGTCTCGGGACCAAGACTGGCGTGTTCAAAAGACCCGAATTATGTCTGACGGATCAAGGTTTCAAGTCTCTAGGACCTTTGGTTCGGGAGTTATACACGTTTTAAGTTCCGCATTGAAATGAATGGGACAGCGAGAAAGGCAAAAAAATAATAATATTTATAAATATAAGAAACTAAAACAATAACAAAAAGTGAGTTTAGAATTATAAAAATAACTATTTACAAATATAACAGTTGAAAAGAACAAGGAGAGAAATCTGGGAATGATTTGCTTGCTTTTGGCTCCCTCTAGTGGCCGCGCCGCGCCAACACACTATTAGTGGCAGCGTGCTCGCACTATAAGAAAAAGTAAGTTTATTGAAACTATAGCGATGGAAAACGATGGGAAATACATAACTCAGTGAAACAGGTGATCAGAAAAAGTAGTAATAGATAGGGCCATATTAGCAGACACTATAAACCAGGGGTCCCCAATTAAATTGGCATCAGGTCCACTTACTTGATTCAATAGATTAGGGTCCGGACATCATACAAATATTTATTTAATAGAAATCCGTTCAAGCTATTTCTTCCATATTAAATTATTTGAAACCTTCAACAACGACTACAGTAGTAAGAACTATTTGTAAAAAAAAATCTAAAGATAGGTGTGTATATTTCAATTCATTGATAATAATTCAACATTAATGTACTTTGTTTATTTCTACACAACACACCACAAACCTCTCCCAAATTCTCAAAGCAGAGTGTGGAACACATGTTAATTGCGGAGGATAAGGGTATCGTTTTTGAACTGCTTCTTTCTATCAAATAAAGTTTTTGCCATCGCCTCCACTCACTCTGACCATAACAAAGCTCTTTATGCCCGAAATCCACTACACTTGCATTAACACTGTCTACTGTGAGCACTTAAGTAGGGCATGCGCTGTTTGTTAATGCTTTAATATGTTTCTGATGTGTACCTCTGTCTCGCTCCTCCTCGCTGCTCCTCCTCACACACCTCTGTCTCGCTCCTCCTCGCGCTCCTCCTCACACACCTCTGTCTCGCTCCTCCTCGCTGCTCCTCCTCACGCACATGTTTGCTCCTCTGTTAGGGTTAGGGTTAGGGTTAGGGTTAGTATACAAAGTCATTGTCCCCCGAAGGGTACAACAAAATGCACGGGCCCTCTCCCTGACTCTGGACCAAGCGGGTGTTCTGGGCACTGGCAACCACCATGATGGCCGCCATCTTGTGTCCAGGGGGTTCAAAAAATTGCTCTATAGTAGAGTGTATGTGTAGAAAAATTGTATGCGCTACGTTTCGACAGCTTCTTGTGTCTTCTTCAGGCGAGTTCTACACTGACTGGAGGCACTCTGTTCGGTGTCCTCTTTTATATGGTGTACAGGCTCCGCCCCCCCACTCTTGTTGAGTAACCAATGAACTAATTTAGTTTCCAATTTATGTCTTCCTGTGACTGGTTAAGTTTAGGGCTGTTCCCCTCTATGGTTAAGGTTAGGGCCAGGAGCTAGGCTAGACTTTAGCTCTACTCTACTATGGCCACAATCTTGACAGTAGTCCAAGTGCGCATTTTGGCTGCTTGTTTCCTGCACAACATGAAGATCAATTGCGACTTGCATATTGTCTCCACGTTTACAAGATTGTATACTAGAATTGAACAAATTTAGTTTCAATTGGGTTCTTCCCTGATGCTAATGCTAGTGCCTTGAGTTAAGGTCATGGTGTCCAGAGACTGGGCGAGGCACTGGCCAGTAATTAGTATACAAAGTCATTGTCCCCCGAAGGGTACAACAAAATGCACGGGCCCTCTCCCTGACTCTGGACCAAGCGGGTGTTCTGGGCACTGGCAACCACCATGATGGCCGCCATCTTGTGTCCAGGGGGTTCAAAAAATTGCTCTATAGTAGAGTGTATGTGTAGAAAAATTGTATGCGCTACGTTTCGACAGCTTCTTGTGTCTTCTTCAGGCGAGTTCTACACTGACTGGAGGCACTCTGTTCGGTGTCCTCTTTTATATGGTGTACAGGCTCCGCCCCCCCACTCTTGTTGAGTAACCAATGAACTAATTTAGTTTCCAATTTATGTCTTCCTGTGACTGGTTAAGTTTAGGGCTGTTCCCCTCTATGGTTAAGGTTAGGGCCAGGAGCTAGGCTAGACTTTAGCTCTACTCTACTATGGCCACAATCTTGACAGTAGTCCAAGTGCGCATTTTGGCTGCTTGTTTCCTGCACAACATGAAGATCAATTGCGACTTGCATATTGTCTCCACGTTTACAAGATTGTATACTAGAATTGAACAAATTTAGTTTCAATTGGGTTCTTCCCTGGATGCTAATGCTAGTGCCTTGAGTTAAGGTCATGGTGTCCAGAGACTGGGCGAGGCACTGGCCAGTAATTAGTATACAAAGTCATTGTCCCCCGAAGGGTACAACAAAATGCACGGGCCCTCTCCCTGACTCTGGACCAAGCGGGTGTTCTGGGCACTGGCAACCACCATGATGGCCGCCATCTTGTGTCCAGGGGGTTCAAAAAATTGCTCTATAGTAGAGTGTATGTGTAGAAAAATTGTATGCGCTACGTTTCGACAGCTTCTTGTGTCTTCTTCAGGCGAGTTCTACACTGACTGGAGGCACTCTGTTCGGTGTCCTCTTTTATATGGTGTACAGGCTCCGCCCCCCCACTCTTGTTGAGTAACCAATGAACTAATTTAGTTTCCAATTTATGTCTTCCTGTGACTGGTTAAGTTTAGGGCTGTTCCCCTCTATGGTTAAGGTTAGGGCCAGGAGCTAGGCTAGACTTTAGCTCTACTCTACTATGGCCACAATCTTGACAGTAGTCCAAGTGCGCATTTTGGCTGCTTGTTTCCTGCACAACATGAAGATCAATTGCGACTTGCATATTGTCTCCACGTTTACAAGATTGTATACTAGAATTGAACAAATTTAGTTTCAATTGGGTTCTTCCCTGATGCTAATGCTAGTGCCTTGAGTTAAGGTCATGGTGTCCAGAGACTGGGCGAGGCACTGGCCAGTAATTAGTATACAAAGTCATTGTCCCCCGAAGGGTACAACAAAATGCACGGGCCCTCTCCCTGACTCTGGACCAAGCGGGTGTTCTGGGCACTGGCAACCACCATGATGGCCGCCATCTTGTGTCCAGGGGGTTCAAAAAATTGCTCTATAGTAGAGTGTATGTGTAGAAAAATTGTATGCGCTACGTTTCGACAGCTTCTTGTGTCTTCTTCAGGCGAGTTCTACACTGACTGGAGGCACTCTGTTCGGTGTCCTCTTTTATATGGTGTACAGGCTCCGCCCCCCCACTCTTGTTGTGTAACCAATGAACTAATTTAGTTTCCAATTTATGTCTTCCTGTGACTGGTTAAGTTTAGGGCTGTTCCCCTCTATGGTTAAGGTTAGGGCCAGGAGCTAGGCTAGACTTTAGCTCTACTCTACTATGGCCACAATCTTGACAGTAGTCCAAGTGCGCATTTTGGCTGCTTGTTTCCTGCACAACATGAAGATCAATTGCGACTTGCATATTGTCTCCACGTTTACAAGATTGTATACTAGAATTGAACAAATTTAGTTTCAATTGGGTTCTTCCCTGATGCTAATGCTAGTGCCTTGAGTTAAGGTCATGGTGTCCAGAGACTGGGCGAGGCACTGGCCAGTAATTAGTATACAAAGTCATTGTCCCCCGAAGGGTACAACAAAATGCACGGGCCCTCTCCCTGACTCTGGACCAAGCGAGTGTTCTGGGCACTGGCAACCACCATGATGGCCGCCATCTTGTGTCCAGGGGGTTCAAAAAATTGCTCTATAGTAGAGTGTATGTGTAGAAAAATTGTATGCGCTACGTTTCGACAGCTTCTTGTGTCTTCTTCAGGCGAGTTCTACACTGACTGGAGGCACTCTGTTCGGTGTCCTCTTTTATATGGTGTACAGGCTCCGCCCCCCCACTCTTGTTGAGTAACCAATGAACTAATTTAGTTTCCAATTTATGTCTTCCTGTGACTGGTTAAGTTTAGGGCTGTTCCCCTCTATGGTTAAGGTTAGGGCCAGGAGCTAGGCTAGACTTTAGCTCTACTCTACTATGGCCACAATCTTGACAGTAGTCCAAGTGCGCATTTTGGCTGCTTGTTTCCTGCACAACATGAAGATCAATTGCGACTTGCATATTGTCTCCACGTTTACAAGATTGTATACTAGAATTGAACAAATTTAGTTTCAATTGGGTTCTTCCCTGATGCTAATGCTAGTGCCTTGAGTTAAGGTCATGGTGTCCAGAGACTGGGCGAGGCACTGGCCAGTAATTAGTATACAAAGTCATTGTCCCCCGAAGGGTACAACAAAATGCACGGGCCCTCTCCCTGACTCTGGACCAAGCGGGTGTTCTGGGCACTGGCAACCACCATGATGGCCGCCATCTTGTGTCCAGGGGGTTCAAAAAATTGCTCTATAGTAGAGTGTATGTGTAGAAAAATTGTATGCGCTACGTTTCGACAGCTTCTTGTGTCTTCTTCAGGCGAGTTCTACACTGACTGGAGGCACTCTGTTCGGTGTCCTCTTTTATATGGTGTACAGGCTCCGCCCCCCCACTCTTGTTGAGTAACCAATGAACTAATTTAGTTTCCAATTTATGTCTTCCTGTGACTGGTTAAGTTTAGGGCTGTTCCCCTCTATGGTTAAGGTTAGGGCCAGGAGCTAGGCTAGACTTTAGCTCTACTCTACTATGGCCACAATCTTGACAGTAGTCCAAGTGCGCATTTTGGCTGCTTGTTTCCTCTGCACAACATGAAGATCAATTGCGACTTGCATATTGTCTCCACGTTTACAAGATTGTATACTAGAATTGAACAAATTTAGTTTCAATTGGGTTCTTCCCTGATGCTAATGCTAGTGCCTTGAGTTAAGGTCATGGTGTCCAGAGACTGGGCGAGGCACTGGCCAGTAATTAGTATACAAAGTCATTGTCCCCCGAAGGGTACAACAAAATGCACGGGCCCTCTCCCTGACTCTGGACCAAGCGGGTGTTCTGGGCACTGGCAACCACCATGATGGCCGCCATCTTGTGTCCAGGGGGTTCAAAAAATTGCTCTATAGTAGAGTGTATGTGTAGAAAAATTGTATGCGCTACGTTTCGACAGCTTCTTGTGTCTTCTTCAGGCGAGTTCTACACTGACTGGAGGCACTCTGTTCGGTGTCCTCTTTTATATGGTGTACAGGCTCCGCCCCCCCACTCTTGTTGTGTAACCAATGAACTAATTTAGTTTCCAATTTATGTCTTCCTGTGACTGGTTAAGTTTAGGGCTGTTCCCCTCTATGGTTAAGGTTAGGGCCAGGAGCTAGGCTAGACTTTAGCTCTACTCTACTATGGCCACAATCTTGACAGTAGTCCAAGTGCGCATTTTGGCTGCTTGTTTCCTGCACAACATGAAGATCAATTGCGACTTGCATATTGTCTCCACGTTTACAAGATTGTATACTAGAATTGAACAAATTTAGTTTCAATTGGGTTCTTCCCTGATGCTAATGCTAGTGCCTTGAGTTAAGGTCATGGTGTCCAGAGACTGGGCGAGGCACTGGCCAGTAATTAGTATACAAAGTCATTGTCCCCCGAAGGGTACAACAAAATGCACGGGCCCTCTCCCTGACTCTGGACCAAGCGAGTGTTCTGGGCACTGGCAACCACCATGATGGCCGCCATCTTGTGTCCAGGGGGTTCAAAAAATTGCTCTATAGTAGAGTGTATGTGTAGAAAAATTGTATGCGCTACGTTTCGACAGCTTCTTGTGTCTTCTTCAGGCGAGTTCTACACTGACTGGAGGCACTCTGTTCGGTGTCCTCTTTTATATGGTGTACAGGCTCCGCCCCCCCCACTCTTGTTGTGTAACCAATGAACTAATTTAGTTTCCAATTTATGTCTTCCTGTGACTGGTTAAGTTTAGGGCTGTTCCCCTCTATGGTTAAGGTTAGGGCCAGGAGCTAGGCTAGACTTTAGCTCTACTCTACTATGGCCACAATCTTGACAGTAGTCCAAGTGCGCATTTTGGCTGCTTGTTTCCTGCACAACATGAAGATCAATTGCGACTTGCATATTGTCTCCACGTTTACAAGATTGTATACTAGAATTGAACAAATTTAGTTTCAATTGGGTTCTTCCCTGATGCTAATGCTAGTGCCTTGAGTTAAGGTCATGGTGTCCAGAGACTGGGCGAGGCACTGGCCAGT